ATGACCCATTGAAGTTGATATGCCGTAAAACAAGCCAAACCAAACCAAACAACTAATATATTGTTTACATAATTTAAATTAAACTGATGTTGACATCTTTGTCATTATTACCACAACAATTTGTCCCCTCGAGCTTTCTTCAGGTGTAAATTAATGTAACGTTTTGGGAATATTGACAGATTTAGATATTGGCTACTACTGACTGCAGCCCTATAAGCTAGAGGAGCCCATAAAGGCCTTCTAAATCTTGGGAATCTCCATCATCATTATGTTTTTAGAATGCTTTGCTAGTGAATTTGTATACTAGAACATACAGTTACTTGCATTATTTACATTATTCGGACTGTTATCCTCATCTTCATTGCAATATTCACAATGTTCCGACCGTTGTATGCTCTGGCCTTTATGTCTATGTCTCTCTATATCTCTGTCTCTATCTCTTAGATGAGGTATTATGATTACTTGCATTATTTACATTATTTGGACTGTTATTCTCATCTTCATTGCCATATACATGATGTTTTGGCCGTTATATGCTCCAGCCTTCTTCAGGTGATTGGAATTTTGACCTGAACCTTTTATTATGTCTACCAGGGTAGATTTTTGATGAAGTAAAGGGTTTGCTTTGAAAATCCAATCACCTGAAGAAGGCCAGAGTGTACAACAGCTAAACATTGTCAATATGGCAATGAAGATGAGGATAACAGTCCAAGTAATGTAAATAATTCAAGTAATCATAATACCTCATCTCAGAGATACAGACAGAATTTCAGTGTCATATAGGTTTTTCATTTTTCATATATTTCTGTTGGATGAAAAGTTCTGATAAAAAATATCAAAAAGTTGCTAATGAAGTAAATTGGATGAATTCCAAAATCGTTAAAAGTTTTTGTTTTAGTGTTTCATGTTTTCCACCAAAAAATCATCACCTAAAAATATATATATCTTTTTCTTTTTAAATATATACCAAAGAAGAAAGCTCATCAGAACATTTGTCACAAAAATATTTATAGAAAAGGCACTGGGATGCTATGTCATGGTGGAGGAAAAGTAACTGAAGCCAAGATGCCAGGTCAAGACTGATAACATTGCAGATTCTTCTTTAGATTTTATCAAGAATCTCTAGAAGTGTCAGATCAGATGTGGCAGCAATATTCAATGCATGGATGAATGGTTGACTTAGAAATGTGTAAGATAAATTCTGGCAAGAAAAATTGTCTAGCACAACACAGTGAACCAAGTTTCTTAGCAGAAAAAAATAGCAGTTGATTAAATATAATCATTCCATTTCATATCAACAGAAAGCATTAGCCTGAGGAGCCACTCTTCTAGAGGTTCGCATCCGCCATACTGATGAATGGTTAAAAAGATTCTCTCAGGTGATTAAAAGAGAGCAGTTTTAAATGTCCAAAAAAAACTTTTTCTACTTTTTTTTCTGGTTAATGTTTTGGTTTTGCCACAATTACCCAGATCAACAGACACTTAAAGAAGGTCAGACGATAACATGGCAGAAATATTGTGGTCAAAACAACAAAAGATGTTAGTCTTCATGTAATTAATTCCTCATTCCAGAAATTCAGACAGAATTTCCTTATAAATTTTCTTTCAATATCTTTCCCCCTTTTTTTTTTCTTTAAGCATTTCACCCCAAGCATGGCAGGAGTGTCACTAGCACGCCAGGGGTTGCAGAGAGTGGGAGCAAGAGTAAAGAGGAGTGTTTGAGGAAAGGATATAAAAAAGGATGGGGATCAGCATCAATGCATCAAAAGATGTCGATTGACATTACATTTGAATATTTGAAGATTATAGCTAACAAGGAAGCAAGTAAGAGGAAGGGAGTTCCACTGTTTGGAAGTATGAAAGAAGTTGTTATTGGTGTAGAAGAGGCCTTACTTTTATTTAAAAATATGATATAGTTATTCAACACACTTGATATTATTATTTCCCAAATCAAAAAGTATTTCTGAATAGAATAGAATATTTATAACATAAAATAATAGTGAAAATAATCCATAAATGTCAAAAATAAAGATAAATAATATAGATAATCTATAAAGGAGATATATAATATGGATAATCTATAAAGGAGATATATAATATGGATAATCTATAAAGGAGATATATAATATGGATAATCTATAAAGGAGATATATAATATGTAAAATATAAAGGAGATATATAATATGTAAAATATAAAGGAGATATATAATATGGATAATCTATAAAGGAGATATATAATATAGATATATAAAGGAGATATATAATATAGATAATCTATAAAGGAGATATATAATATAGATAATCTATAAAGAAGATATATAATATAGATATATAAAGGAGATATATAGGTTAATCTATAAAGAAGATATATAATTTGGATAATCTATCAAGAAATTAAATTTAAAAAAAAGTCTGTTTTCTCTTTAATCATTTGACTCCAAGCAAAGTGGTAATGCCACTCAGACACCAGGGGCGGGGGTTATAGGGAGTGAAAGAGAATGAGAATACTTTAGAGAGGCGAGATGAGGAAAGGACAATAAAGGAACAGGGTCCAGGAAGACAAAAGATGGAGATTGATGTTGCATTTAACTATTTGAAGATTGTAGTTATCAGGGAAGCAAGATATCAGAAAGGAGTTCCACAGGTAAGAAGTATAAAAAAAGAAATTGTAAAAATAGAAGCAGCGGTTGCATCTTGATAGTTCAGCAGTAAAGTGATGAGACACAGTTGCTAAATTCATGTAGTTGGGAGGTGGGGAAAAGCTCATTGGAACAATTGCTGTGAAAATATTTGCTGGGAAGCCATGTCCTGTCAGTGACTGAAGTTGAGATCCTCAGTCAGGATCGATTACATTGTAGACGATTCTTTGAATTTATTTACACTAAATTGTTTTGTTGAGAAAAAAAAAAATTTCATCCAGTTACCAAGTTGCCATTGATTCTAGATCCAAGGGCTTACTTCTCCAAGTCAGAGGTTAAAAATCAAATTTATTATGGCTCAAGAGTTGACCCCTGCAAGATAACATCTGAACACTTTGTTTTATTTCAGTTCTGTAAAAATAGCCGTATCTCCTTTTGGATTATTGCAACTAATTTTGTGAGACATTATTGATTCCATGAAATGCCAAATCATAGTGATCTTGTCTCATTTGATCACGTTAGACGAAATCTCTTTATAATACTCAAATAGGATTAGCGCTTACTAATTTTACTGATGCTCTTGCAATGAAAATGTTGTAATAAAAAGTAATAATTCTCATGTTTTTTTTTATGTTAGCCATCAGAGGTTAATGCTAAAGTTATGACAATAGAATTTCAGCCTTCCAGCCAGTAACACACAAATGATTTGTTTTAAAGCAAAAAACAATCTTCTAAAGTTATGTCTGACATGAAAGTGCATCTGAAGCAGAGATAAATTATTGAATTCCTTGATACAGAATGTATACAGTGGGTATTTCAATAAAATATAGAAAATCCCCAAATAGATAGGGGGGGAGCAAAAGAAAAGAAAGTGTGACAATGAACTAGAGATGAAAGAGAGAGAGAGAGAGAGAGAAAGTACCAAATGCTTAAAAATAGCCAGTTTGAGGAAGGAACAAAAATATGGAACAATCATGTTATTAAGTTTATTCAAATAAATCCAAATGCTAAGAATAACAAATCTTTATTCATTTTCTTTCATAAGATTTTTGGTGTCTATGCCAGTAGACATTCAGTCAGTTATGTACCATACGTGATATAAGCTTAGACGATCATGTGTCTTTTGATATATGACTGACGAGGCAGATTTTTTTTCCATGTTAGGTTGCCATTTCTTTCTGTAGTAGACCAGTTTCCATCCAAGACTATAGAACCTGATCTGTTTTGCTATTTACCCATATCTGGGGGGAGAAGAGGAGTCATACCTTTCCCAAGGGTATTAGCATGTAAGTAAATGCAATAGATTTGACTGGAATTCAAACTCGGCTCTTTGATTCCTTAATCCAAGCCATTATTCATTACTTCACCGTGCCTCCCTTTACACATAACTGTTTCAAAACATTAACATCGACTGAAACACATCACCACTAATCACCACCTTCTGTTTTCTTAAACCCTGTTCATCTTTTAACCTCTCCTCAATCCTCTCTATACGCAGTCTTTTCTCTCATTTTCACTCTCTGTAACCCTCTGGGTACTAGTAGCAATCCCACCTTGCTTGGAGTGAAATGATTTTAAAAAATTATATAAATAGTATTTATAGTAATAGAAAATGATTAAAAAAAATACTTTGTGTATGAAAATAAAGTTAGTCGATGTAGACTTCAAAACATCTCAACAGGAGATGTGCATGTCTTGGGTAGGATAATTGAGTTTTGCTTTGCTGTGATGACTTTCAATAGCTTAGTGGTAAAAGAAAGGTTGAAAGTTTTTTTCTCAGTTTGAAAAAAAAAAGTAATATGAGTTTGATTTCTGTTTGGAGGTATATTTTCTTTTATAAGACTTTTTGTTCTTATTCCATGTGCCTTGCCTTTTTTGGATATCTCAATTTCAGTGAATTCCTTTTTGTAACTTTTTGGATTATTTCAACCAACACTTTTATCCACTGGGCCATGTGAAGAAGGTTGGAGCATAGAACGGCCGAAATGTCATGAATATGGCAATAAAGATAAGGACAACAGTTTGAACGATGTAAATAGTGTAATTAGTTACAATATCTCATCTCAGAAATATAGATAGATTCTGAAGAAGTTCAGAAGATACAATGGCCGAAATGTTGTGAATATGGCAATAAAGATAAGGACAACAGTCTGAACGATGTAAATAGTGTAATTAGTTACAATATCTCATCTCAGATAGATATATTCTGAAGAAGGTCAGAGCGTACAATGGCCGAAATGTCATGAATAATGCAATAAAGATAAGGAGAACAGTCTGAACTTAAAGAATCATATCCCTAGAAAATTATCAGAAAATCTGAATTCTGTTCTTATGGTATTCTTTCTTTTTTACTATTTTCAGGTGACTTCCCCAGGGCATGGTCTTTGTTACTTGAGCACATCGAATATTCTGCCCTTTGTCCCAATGCAGAAGTCTCATTGGCTGCCCTGAAAAGCTTCCAGGAAATCATACAAATCAACAAAGACTCCAAAGAAAAGGGGGATGATTTACGAATTAGTCGTGGCAGTGTTACCCCACCTGGTGAGGAAGTGATGAACCGTTCCAGTGAAGATGGGCATGATGCCCCTAACAAGCCTGTCCAGAATGATAGTGGTAAGGTAGAATATAATCTTACCCTGTGGTCAACGGCTTGGCGTGTTTGGCTTAACATTGGTATGCTGTCAACAAAACCACCGGAGGGCAAAAGCCAGAAGCCTTATATTCCATCTCAGGCATTTGTCACTGCTCTTGCCCAAACTTTTCCACCTTTATTTCATCACATCAAGTCCAGGTTTGTTGCTGCTGATCTCCAGAAACTGTCCACTGTCCTGCGGAGTGCACTCTCCGTGCCAGTCCATGGGGATATGTCCCCTTTTATCATACCCACATACCCAGATCTTACCATCACTCCTCTCCAGGAATCAACACTTAACGCTGTTCAAGTGCTTATCAAGGTAAGAGATTTGCAGAAATTTTTTGGTTTGTTTGTTTTGTTTTTTAATATATATTTTGGAAAGAAATATTGGAATTTTTTGTACTCATTTAAAAAAAATAGTATTATGAAGATTTTTTGTTCGTTCGGTTCGGCATCTGTCCATCTCAGAAGACGATGGTGTAGCACACTTCAGTGCGCCATGAGTATGGGTGGGATGTATGGAGAACTAGGGCTGCCCGGATGTTTAGTTCCCCCTCTTGGCCTTGCTAGCAGAGTCCAAAGGAGAGGATAAATCAATAAGCATTTGGTACCAGCGCAGCTGCAGGAGTTGCCAGAAGGTAGCACATAGTGCCGTCCATCTGCCTTAGGGGCTCCACTCCGGATTTGTGTAGGGTTTACTCCTTAGCCTTTTCTTCTCCCGAAGATTTCCACAAGGCAGTGGAGCTATTTAATTCATAGCTGGAGTTTGGTTCATGGGCACCAGAGTGAGTCCACACAACAGTGGGCCTGCATGCTGCATGTTAAGGGGGCTAAACTCCTCCCCTGATCCCTGTAGTTTAGCCTGAGTCCACAAGGTGCTCAGTTACCATTTGTTGCCACGAGTAGGCACTACATAGGGCTTGCTGATGAAGAGGCTATATACTGGCAGGGGAAGACTTACGCACTCGGATCCCCTTTTCGTATTCCGGCCAACCAGCGGTGGTAACTGAAAGTGAGAAGCGACAAGCACTACCATTACAGATTACCACACTAGATGCATCACAAAATGACACACATTAAGATTTAAAATCATTTTCAAGTAAAAAAAATTTTTTTGAAGATTTTTTGTACTCATTTAAAAAAAATAGTATTATGAAGATTTTTTTTGTCCTCATTTAAAAAAATAGTATTATGAAAATTTTTTGTCCTCATTTAAAAAAATAGTATTATGCAGATTTTTTTGTCCTCATTTAAAATAATAGTATTATGAAAATTTTTTGTCCTCATTTAAAAAAATAGTATTATGCAGATTTTTTTGTCCTCATTTAAAATAATAGTATTATGAAAATTTTTTGTCCTCATTTAAAAAAATAGTATTATGCAGATTTTTTGTACTGATTTAAAATAATAGTATTATGAAGATTTTTTTGTACTCATTTAAAAAAAAATTATGAAATTTGTCTAGGTGAAGGATAACTGAATTCAAAACAAGTTTTAGGTGTACAGCTTGTAACTCTAACCCAAATGCAGTTACTAGTGTAGTGAGGCTACAGGCCTGATGCTCTATATGGAGTGAGGACTTTTCTCTTTTAAAATTAACTCTGAAAATGACTAAATTATATATGTTGTGTTCATCTTTGCTTTCACTTTATCATTAACTGAATAATACAACAAATTATTAGTCAATGACCATTGGTGTCTTTTTCTCTCATGTTAGCTTGCATTGTACAAAACCACATAGACAGCATGGCAGTTTAATTTTTTCATTTAGCCTTTTCAAAATGTGGAGGTAACTTGAATTTTCAAAGCAATTAAGGAAAAAATTTTTTATCGTTTTTTTTTCACTTGAAAATGATTTTAAATTGCATGAATTAAAAAGTAAACCTTGCTAAAGAAAATGGTTTAGAGGTAAATTTGAAAAAAAAAAGTATCTTAATGGATATTTCAATCCAGCACTATTTTTAATGACTATAAATGATATTTTACTTTTTTCCCTTAGAAAATGAATGGCCATTGACTAATTATTGCCATTTCAATTCAGTTACCAATAAAGTGAAAGCAAGGGATATATTTTATTTACATTTTGATGATCCAGGCCAGTAGGCATTAATTTCACTGTATCTATTCAGATATGTGTACCCATTAAAATTGGATTTAGGAAGATTTGCCTAAAGAATCTTGGTCTAAGAAACATTCATCCAATATAATATTGGTCTAAGAGAAACTTGTCTTAGGAAATTTGTCTCAGGAATTCTCATCTAAGGTCATTGGTCTATGGAATACCTGTCTAAAGACATTGGTATCTGGAATACCTGTCTAAGGACATGGGTCTCTGGAATACCTGTCTAAGGTCATGGGTCTCTGGAATACCTGTCTAAGGACATGGGTCTCTGGAATACCTGTCTAAGGATCACTGGTCTATGATGATATTGTTTAATAAATAAAAACTTTATTTCTGTGAAAAATATTAAACTTTATTGATATTCACTATATTAGAGAATAATATTTAAGAAGACACTTACAGCAATATTCATTACTGCTGATACATTGGATTTATAAACATTTATTGGCATGAATTGTGTGTATATTAATACTGAGAGTTTATTTTAATGAGAGATATTGTAAGCAATGATACACAGATAATCTCCATAGAATTCTGTAGGCAAATATTTCTTAGACATATATTCTTTAGACCAGTTATGTGCCATGCGTGATAAAGGTGTAGGTGATCATGTATCTTTTGATACATGACTGATGAAGCAGATTTTTTTCCCGCTGTAGGTTCCCATTTCTTTCTGTGGAAGACCATTTACCTTCCAAGGCTATAGAACCTGGTCTGTCCTGCTATTTACCCATAGCTAGTGGGGAGAAGAGGATTCATACCTTTCCCAAAGGTATTAGTATGTAAAAGAATGTAATGGATTTGACTGGAATTTGAAGTCGGCTCTCTGATTACTCAGTCTGAGCTGCTATACATTACTCCAGACTTCCTTAGACCAATATCCTCAGACGAGTGTTCCTTAGACCAATATCCTCAGACGAGTGTTCCTTAGACCAATATCCTCAGACGAGTGTTCCTTAGACCAATATCCTCAGACGAGTGTTCCTTAGACCAATATCCTCAGACGAGTGTTCCTTAGACCAATATCCTCAGACGAGTGTTCCTTAGACCAATATCTTTAGACGAGTGTTCCTCAGACGAATATCCCTAAGCCAGTGTTCTTTAGACCAATATCCTTAAGCCCGTGTTCCTTAGACCAATATCCTTAAGTCATTGTTCCTTAGAACAATATCCTTAGACAAATTTTTTAGAACCACTAAAATCAAATTTGTAGTAATAAAAAAAAAGCATATAGAGTATTTTTTAAAATCTACTTTGGTGCTTCAGATTTCATGGCCTTGTACAATGCATAATGAAACATTACAATCTTTACACGTCTTTTTGATATTTTTTTGCCATATTAATTCAACGTTGAATCAAGGGTTTTTTCCTTCACTTTAAGGGAAGAGGAAAAAATGTTAGATTATTCTGTCAGGAAAAATAGCATCTGGGCACTGATGACTTGCAGGAAGAATTGCCTGTCTCTGACTCATCATAAAATGGTAATTTTCATGATTAAGTCACTTTCCATTTTTGAAGCAGGACAAGATTGTTCTTTTTCTATCGCTTAGATTTCAGCAAGCAGGACAAATCTCAATTAAATATTATTCTCTCTTCCTAAGTTTTCTGGATTTTTTTTTTTAATGATTGTCTTCTTGGTTAAGTAATACAAATCTCTGTCTCAATTTCTGGAATGAAGAGTTATCACTATATTACATCCATTATGCACTGTATATCAATCTGAGTAACCTGTTGTGGGATACTTGTATGTATGGGTAAATATATTAGTTGGCATTATATTGCAGCAATCAACACTTTGGATAGTAAATATTAATGGGTTCCTGGAACATTTACCTGCAAACAATATTAGTGGACTCAATGTGAGTCTGGGTAAAAAAGAGTGACATAAAATAATAAATATAAAACAAACAACAATGCATATATTAACAAAAGGAATTACATGTGTAGACAATTATTACAAAAAGGAGAAAGATTAAAACAAGTTATAAGAAGGACGTGCTTGCTTGTTTGTGTGTGTGACACAGACACGTGTGTGTATATGCATGTTTGAGAGAGTTCAAAAGTCAAAGGAGGACCAAAGAAGTGAATGTGCCTTGTTGGCAGCATTCCTATCTATATGCAACTGCTTCTGTGAATCAGAGCTAGGAAGAGGGAGGACATAATTCCCTATTTATAGGCTTAAAGAGACCCTCCCCCCCAGCAGGCGTTTTGGCACAGTCAAGTGGGGGATGTGGAATTACCATTATTTACATTCAGACTAATGTCCTTATTTTTTTTGTTATTATCGTAATGTTTCGGCTGTTCTTTCTGGCCTTCATCAGATGCATATCAATCTGAGTAATTTTTTCTTTCTTAATAGAAATAGATAGTTTCCCCCCATCATCTGGTTCACACTCCTCACCTGTCTTTTGATCAAGAGTTGAGGTTTAATGCTTGTTTGCTGCTTAGGGCTGGGTTTCCGGCCCCTTCTAAAGTCTCTATACTCCTAATGTCTCCGCCTGAATTTTATTTACTATTTATTTTTTTCTCAATAGGAATAGATAAGTTCACCAATTGCCTGGTTCACACTCCTCCCCAGTCTTTTAATCAGGAGTAGACGTTTATTTCTTGTTTGGGATTGGCTGTCCAGTTGATTTTAAAGTCTTTTCATTCTCTTTCACTCCCAGTAACTCCTTGTATTTTAACGGCATTATTGCCTTGTTGGGGACAAGGAATTAATTTTAAAAAATCTTTTGGAGAATTTCAAACAAATTTAGTCCAGTGAAGTCTTCAAGAATGAAACATATCATGAAAAATTTTTTCCACTTCTCCCAATATATATATATATATATATATATATATATATATATATACACACATGCACAGTGCAATCTCATTTTTATATATTTACCAAAATGACACAAAAATATTTAGAATTACTAAAGATTAAATTTATTCAATATAATTGCCATTGGCTTCAACCACAGCCTTCAGACGACTTAGGAATCTCCTGCAACTCTTCTGGATGGTCTCCTTGTTTGAGTTGGTGAATGCTCCCATAATCCTTGCCTTCAGTTCATCTTTGGTGTTGCAAGGAGTTTTGTTGATCTCTTGCTAAACTGCACCCTGCATATTATAATCAAAGGGGTTGCAGTCTGGGGAGTTAAATGGCTGGATGTAAGGGAGGAATGTGGTCACAGAAATTGTCAGTCAACCAT